CTCCCCAAAACCCCAAAACCCCAAAACCCCTTAATAAATAAATAAATTGCAATCAGGGAAATAAAACCAAGAATGGCAAAAAACGACCAAAATCTTGAGAAGATGAAGGATGAGATCGAAGCCGATGAGATAGAAGAGTTTAAAAAGTTTAAGGTACACCATTTGCTGAATAATATCAACACTATTAACTGGATGAGGAAGAGAGCATCAGAGAAAGCTCAAATTCAGTACCTTAATAATTCATCCCAGTTGGAAGAGCATCAAGCTATCGTTAGAGTGTTTGAGAAGTTTGACGATGATGGGAATGGGACCCTTGAAGTTGAGGAGTTGAAGGAGATGTTTGATAAGAACCATATTGACATCTCCGCAAACCAGCTTCTTACTCTGTTTTCTATAGTAGACGAGGATAAATCTGGCGCTCTCGATATCAATGAATTTAAGGAATTCGCTCTCTCTATGGAAGCCAATAAACACTTCAGGGATATTATAAAAGAGCTCAGATACAAGGAGACTTATAAACACATAGAAGATCGAGCAAAGTTTCTCCCATTTAATTTTTCCACTCTTTTGAATTTCTTATCAGATGAAGCGATGAAAGACTCTCTTCGAGAGAATATCGAGCCGAAGGATATCCAGAAGGCAGGTGAAAAGAGTTATTCCTCGAATGAAGTCAAGGAAGACCTTAAGAGGTTCATACAATTATTTAAGTCTGAGTACAGCAAGTAAGTCCTACTGAAGATTCATCGGTTTCTTGTCTAGTCTTTTATAATAGTTTCCTATTTGGCTCTTTCATGAATCAAGCATTTTCTAAGCACTCAGCTTGCCTTTGATCCTGCTTAAAGATGCCTAATTGAAGTTTTGAGGTATTAAAATTACATGATTTATCATACCTTTTAGAATTTTTACTCTTCTTCCTCATTTTCTAAGTTTTCATAAGAATAGTTTTATGAAGAAAGTAAATATTTCTGAAAAATTATGAAAATTTGTCCTGGAGATAAGACAGATTTTGTATGGGTTTTGGTACTGCTTAGGGAGAAATTGGGAGAAATAGTCTGATAAGGCTACCAGATCAATAATTTGACTTCTAACATCAGTTTCGAATAGGGTTTAGAATACACTTTGGTGATGGCTCTATTATTAATGTATCCTCATAAATATTAGGCTTTGAAGTTTTCAAAATAATTTAAGAATCATTTTTCTCTGAAATTTTCGTTTTACAATTTCTCAAATTTCTTATAGTCAAGCTTCGACAGCTAGTGATCCTTTGGGAAGACAGATCAACACCGCAGTGGAACTAAGACAACAAAAGAACATATTAGAAAAAGAGCTGTCAATGAGTCCCCAAAAACAAGACAAGGATTGTAAGTTCCCCTAAAATTTCTCCTAACTCTCTGTAGCAAAGGCCTCAGTCACTGCGATGGACTTGGCAAAACTCAAAATTTCAGCTATGAGGAGGTCAACTATCCGCCGCCAAGGTAGCACCTTCGACCTTGATAAGATAAAGAACAAGGTGACTGATGAGGTCGTGGAAGATTCTGATGAATTAATGACTTCCTCTTTCGACACTGATAGCATAGGAAGTGATGGCTCTGTACACATAAAGATCCCAAAGAAAATCACTACTCTAGAAAACAGCTATGAGAAAGCAGAGAAAGAGAAATTACAAAAGAAAACACATAAGGAAATCCAGCAGATTATTAAGAAGGCGAAGAAGGAAGCCAGAGCTAGTGAAATGTACTACAAGGAAAAATATGGCAAGCCAGAGAAGCTCTGTGGCAGAAGAAGCATGAAGGACTCCACTGATTTTATGAAGAAGCATAAGTTTGTGATGAAGAATAAACCTAAGCTAAGGAAAGTCTTTTATAAGCAAAATAAGAACAGACAAAATTTGAGATTAAAGAATCAGACTGAGACTAATCTGATGAAGCCTACTTTCAATACAGCAACCAACTTCTTTAGTAATCCAACTCCGAATTCTATCAATTTTCAACGATTTCCATTAAAAATTCAGGAAGATGAAACTGAGACGAAAAGCTTAAGGCCTCAGCTTCATAGACAGAGTGCTCAAAGTACTGCAATTTCTCCTTCTCAAAAAGAGCGAAATAGAATTCCAACAGCTAGCACAGAGATGTCAAATTGCAAACCTCATCATTTCAGGAATGTGCAATCAGTTTCTTCTATCAAGGATTCTTCTAGAAAATCTGCTCCAAAGCTGAGATCTACAGTTGGGACTCCATACCAAGTCTACAGATTATCTAAGAAGACCAAGAAGAGGCCTGTCTTTGTGAATCAATTAATCCCTAGTAAGAATAAAATCCTGGCTTCGAGAAACTCAGCCACTCTTGGTAATGTAAGAGGCTCAATGAAAGTGCTACGCCCAAGCCCTAATACAGAGTGTGCCAACATGAACTTGGACCACCGGAAAAAGTTTATTCACCTGCTCGGAGACATCGACCCCACTCTGAAGAAAAAGACTCTTCTGAATTTCAAGAAGATGAGTCACTTGAGGATAGATGCATCAGCTTCAACTTTGAGGAGAGGGAAACTTTCCAAAAATTTAAGCACTTTAGGTATGAAACAACAGCCAGAGTTTTCTTAATTTAGTACCTTCTATTAGCCTATAGCATCTTGGGGTTTTGGGGTTTTGGGGTTTTGGGGTTTTGGGG